AAGAAAGAAAGAAAGAAAGACAATTGACTATTCAGTAACCACAGGTGGTCAAGCCTTTCATTTCACAACACATTTGACACTAGAGCAACAATCTAGCCAGCAGAAGTAGTATGCAACCAGACAGAAAATCAGTACCAAAATGGAGACTATAGAGTCCCTTGGCTGCCTCTGATGCTGCCATTTGATTTCTCTTCAGATTCACTCTATTCCCTTCTGGTGCTCATATATAATCACATTGATTGACATGAGGATATGTTCTCAATAGTTCTTTGCATCATGAAATAAATTCATCTGTATCAGAACTATTATTAAAAATGAGCCAGAAATTATAGTGATTCTTGCTTGTCTCTGAAACTCTAAAGTGACAGTCTCCAAACCAATGTTTAAAAAGAGGGGAAGGGGACAGGAAGGGTAGATCTGATCTTCAGTAAAAATAAAGCCCCAAACTGCCTTTCCCCTCCTGTCGGAATCAAACTTTCCAACCTTGCCACTTTTTTGAGGATTACATGGAAATCAAAATTTGCCATTAATTGCTTGGCAAGGTTATGAGAGCTTCAGAGAAGAAAACCATAGAATCAGTCTTTTTTCATATTTAAAGTACTTATGTCTCAAACTTGTATTGATTGGAAATCTGACAACTTAAAAAACATATAAATATATATTATATATTTATTATTTATTTATATATGTATTATTTATTATTATTTACATATATGTAAAATCAGCTTATGACAGTTGATCTACAATGTCTCTGAATAATGAACAAACCATTCAAAGAATTCATAGACTTGTAGTATTCATGGCAGTATAGCTGATGGGAGTAAGGTACTTGCTTTTAGTAAGGCACTTAATTTATTTCTCCAAAATATTAGGGCAATAAACACAAGTTCAGAAGGGAAGAATTACATCTTAATCTGACCCTATTGCAAACAACTGCATCCCCTGCATATGAACAAACAACCCTGATTCCTCAAAATCCTTATATGGCAACAGTTGTGAAATGTACAGAACTTTTATCTCAGAAAATATTTCCAACTTAAATGTTATACCAAGACATCTCTCTCTCTAACTTCAAGACAGCCTTACAGGGATTACTCAACAGTTTTACTTTGTCTCTAAACTATACTGGCAATATAAAATGTGGACCTCTCATCCTTTTTTAATTTAAGAATAGAGTATGAATGTCACACATAAATAGGCAATGAAATCTAGAAACCTGTTTTGTCCCCCTTAATTTGAACTCTATGATATGGAAACCATGAAACATTGCTCTGTTTTCAAAAATACTGAACAGAGAAAAAATAGGAAATATACCTTCCTACTAAAATAAGTTTCTGTTTAAGTGAACATTACAATTGCCTACTACTTAGAAAAAGTATGATGTATTTGTCTTGAATAACAATTCTTGAATAACAATTCAATCATTTTCATAAATGAATAAAATATATCAGTCAGCTTAACAAATGAATATATCATGGCTATTATGACATATTTTCTGATTTCTGAATATACATTAGTAGATCCTACCTTAGTTCTCAAATTTCTAGAAGTCAGCATGTTTATCATGAATAGTATCTTAACAACTTTGCCAAAAACATATTTACTATTTAATTATCCAAATGATCTGCCATTTAATCAATGATCATATATTGAGTGTCTATTATAAGCTCAGTATCAGAAACACAAATATATATTATATAACTATTTTATTCTTATGTTATTTTTATATATTTATTATTACATATTATATATTTTATTATGTAATAAATATAAAATTTATTATAATGCAATTATAATAAAATACTCTATAATTATACGCACATACACACACACACACATATATATGACTCTGCCTTCAAGGAGAAATACAGTGCACAAAAAAGTAGACATACAAACATACAAAGCATAATGCAGGCAATGAGAAAAGATATAAACAAATATAATGGATAAAAAAAATAATGCAGCAACCGTTCTGCTTTGGCAAGTCAGTAAAACCATCCAAAAAGAAGTGATTTTTGAACTCAGTCTTTTTTTTTTTTTAAGATTTTATTTATTTATTCATGAGAGACACAGAGAAAGAGAGAGAGAGAGGTGAGACACAGGCAGAGGGAGAAGCAGGTTCCATGCAGAGAACCTGATGTGGGACTTGATCCTGGGTCCAGGATCACACCCTGGGCCGAAGGTGGTGTTAAACCACTGAACCACCCTGGCTGCCCTGAACTCAGTCTTTTGGAAGAAATGCAATTCACCAGGAAGGTAAAATATGAAGAGTGTTTCCAGGTAGAAAGAATAAAGCTGTGTCATCCAAGGTCACCTGGTATGTTTCTGAACATATTAAAAAAAACTTGGCAAGACAAGGACAATGGGTCCATGGGAGAAATGACAGAAGAGAAGACAAAGCCATAGTTTAGTCCTACTCTATATTGAGTTTTATGCTAAGACAAAGAGTTTTAGACAAACTCTTATATGAAACAAAGACACACATTAATTTCCAAAGTGGGGCAAACAATCCAACTCAATTGTCAGGGAAACAAATCTAGTGGATATTGAAGAAAGAGGGGAGAGAAGAGAAGCTAAAAATTTGAGATCATATTAAAGACTTTTCTAACTGCCTACTCAAAAGATGAAAAGTTAATGGAATCAAGAAACATTTCAGGCAGAAAACAAACTTAGAAACCAGTTGGACATATATAAGAGAGAGTGTCAGCATGTCATTAAAACTAACTAAAACCATTTGTATCCTCAGATCTGTCTAAGAATCTGATGAAAACCATAATCTTACTCACGTGTATGCATAATACAGAATTCTCCATTCATTTTCAGGAGATCCCACAGACCCTAAGAACTGCAGCTCTAGATGAAGTTGTTTGAGGGAAGGAGTTGTGTTTTATTCAATCTATTTCCACAGTGCCCAACAATAACAACAAAAAACTTGGTACAAAGTAAGCAATTCATAGTTTGTATCTAGTTGAACTAAAGTCTTCCTTACAAACTAGTTTCATTTTTACTGACATCCTACATCAAAGGATCCCCTCATGCCTACTACAGAATGTAATTTAATATACTTTTGCTATACACATTTGCGAGTATCCTTAAAATAATATCTCCTTTATCTCTGTGATATTCTCCTAGTTATAACTATTTATTCCTACTCCTTCAAATTTGTGTGTTTAGACTTAGAGTGCTGTCACAGGAAAACCAAACCAAGAAGCACTCCCTAAGAGAAGTTTATCATCAAAATACTGAGAGAGAGGAGGCATTAGCAGTGATGAAATGGAGGGTATGATCTCCTTATCCTGTTGAATTGTGTACTACCATTTTCCCCATTTCTTTTCCTCACCTTTATGAAATGAGCCCAAAAAGCTGAATCATTGCACATAAATAATATGGACTCATAGTAGAGAAAAAAAAAAGTATGAATTATGGATAGTATGATTAAGCTTGCCAACAAAGAGATAATCAAAGAATATAATATGCATGTGCTCTTATGAAGAGCTTATAATGTTTATAAGCATGGACTCCAAAGCCAGAATGTCGGGATAAATACCCCTGGTTCTCCTTGGTATCAGCTGTGATTTGAAGCAAATTATTCACCTCTTTGTGCCTCAGTTTCCTCATTTATAAAATGAGAATAATAATAATATCTCACTATATTATTGTGAAGGTTACATGAGTTAATACACGCAATGTGATTAAAATAGCACATCTATATAAGTGTTACATACTGTTAGTCGAAATACTATCCCTGAGGGGAAAATGTTGGCACATAGCAATACACCTATTGAAATTCTGACCTATGAGGCTTAAAATGTTGAAAGGGTATTTAAGCCTAATGTGAGTGACAAAAAATAGCATCCATCTCACTTTCATTATGCTATCTCTGATTTTTCTTTTTGATTCAATTATATATATATATATATATATATATACATATATATAATGCAATAACATAAATAAGTGGGCATATTTCAATAGCAAGCACATTTATGATATATAATACTTTTCTAGGGAAAGCAAAAAAAAAAAGCATTTCACGTAATCAGCGTTGTCTTCAAAATATGAAAATGTATGAGGAAACATAGTTCTGTTGGTATAATCTGGTTCAAATTAATGGCCCCACCATCGATGAAGTGGAAGAGGAGGTCACAAACCATGACTTGTACCCAAGCAACCATGTTGAAAAGGCTAGTGTGGCTTTACTGGGGTAAGTGCTGTGCTACCTTGCCAACATGCTGGTTCTGTGTATTTAAGTTCCTAAAAGCCTTATTGGTACGTGTGTGTGTGTATTCATGCTTTTAAGCTTCAGCCAAAGATGCTATGCTGCTTCTTCCCTCTCATATGTGAAACCAGTTGCCTAATCTTCTGCAGTGATCCAGACCCCAGGATGAAGAGGCAGATAAATTATCCTGAGTTCCAAATTCTGGAATAGGATGTAATTACTGAACTATCAAAACAACAGCATTAATGAGACTGAGTTAGAAAGTACAGCAGTCACATTAAAAACTATAGCTTCTATGAAATATATTCTCCTATAATATTCCCACACTATAAGGAGTACTAGAATCCAATCTGGGAAAGCAAAAAATTGAAAAACATTGATTTATTGTGGTGGAGATGTTCAAAGTATGTTGTAACTCTATCTGGAAAAACCTTTTATTATAAATACTATGACATCTAACTGTCATTCTGACTAACTTTAAATGTGCTACTTAAACATTATTCTTATAAGTATATGTTTTTTCTTCTAATAATATTGTGTCTCAAAAGCAAAATTCTTGAAAACCAAAAGAAAAAAAAAAAGAAAGGAAGAAAGAAAAAATAGCATATCATGTCCTTCTTACTGGAATCTACTTATAAAGAACTCTAAGATGTTAGGAGTGAATCTTGTGTCTAGCTGTTAAGTAGATGATAATTATAAAGCAAAGGACTGAAGCCAAACTATGAGAGGAGTAGACTGGTCAAAAAGTGAGTGTAGGCACAAGAGACCATGAGAAACCTACCATTGTATTGTGCTGAGAAGTGGGAGTCCTATGGCCACAAGTCTCTTGCGTCAGCAGAGAAACTGGCTGAAATTCCTCAGAGTGAGGCTTGTTGGGAAAACTCACATGCAAGGGAAGGTGAAAGGCTGGGAGCCCGTCACTCTCCTCTTCTTCCACTTTCTGTCTGCTTGTCACCATGGCTACCTCTCCATCTGCTTCCCCATACGGAGAGGCTGGTCGCTTGGAAGACATCCTGGAAGGAACAAAAGAGGAGAAAATAATGAAACCTCCACATAAATCCTTAATGCCGTCATTGTGTGGTTAGGGGCCATTGTAACAGAAATGCCTTTTTGTGCTGGCAGAGAGCAGGAAACCATCCAAATACCACTGCAAAGCGCACACAATCAGAAACAATGGCCAAGCAGGTAGCAACAGAACAGTGCTTGTTTGTTGTGAGAATAATACACTAATATAGCACTCTCTTGTATTCTGGCTTCTTAAACAAGAGAATTCACCTAAGAACACTGCATAATGAAAGACCATTCCATTTTAAAGGGAAGAAAAATACCCATCTAGTTTTACACTTTGATAGACCTTATTGAAGACAGAACATCTATGAATAGCAAATACTACTGGCAGTTAAAAGAAGGAAAGAACTAAAATTTCTTGTATTAAAAAATAAACAAAATAAATGAATGACTGTCATTATAGCAAATTTGCATTTTATTAAAAGTATGATTATTATGAAATGTAGAAATATTGGTTATAAGTAAACCTAGACTCCATGATAAAAAGTTTGATATGTGTTTAAAGCTTATTAAGAACTGAATAAATGTTACAATTGCTGTGAATCTTAAAACATTTGAGAATTGTTCTTTTCTCACCTCTCCATGTATTTCTAATATCAAATAGGCAAAGAGGTTAAAAAAGTGAAAATATAAAAATATTTCAGTTTTCATTTCCATAATTCTACAAAAGATTTAGATGTGGATTCTCAGACTTATCTGCCCCTTAGAATACCTAAAGTAAGAGGGAAAAATCAAAGAAAGATAATTTTGTTTTGATGAGCTAATGCCTATAAGGAAATACTTGTAGACAATTAAAAAATACACACTTTTTTTTGGTATTTGAGTCTAAGAATACTGTCAGAGGTTAAAAATATCTGGCAAATATTCTTGGTTAAATAGAGTGTTCCCTTTCCTTTCATTACAAGTTTTATACAGAAACAGTATAGAGTTAAATTTTTTAATTAAAAAAAAAAACTCTCTTGTATTTGCAACTTGATCTGACCTTGAGAAAGTTGTTATTTTTGCTCCACAAACAAATAGTGTTTACAGAATCATCCATTCTTATTCTAGACCAGTGGGAGAGAAGGCAGGAAAGCATTAACTGCCACACCACATCTTTCATATATATATTACTGATTTTTTTTCATTTGAAATTTACTACTGAAGAGATGTCTCTAATCATTGCTCAATAATACTTTCTTACTGTGAGAAGTTTCAAAAGAACAGTGTATTTGAGTACTGAAGATATTCAATTAAGAAATAATAGCACAGTAGAAAAAACTAAGGGCCTTGGAATCAGACAAACATGGATTAAAGTACTGATTCTGCTACATGCTAGCTGTGAGACTTAGCTTTAATCTATCCCAATTTATTCCTCTTTCAAGGAAGATATAATATCTACTTGTAATGCTCTTTGAGAATAAACTGTGTACCATATGAAAAATAACCTGTAGAGCATTTAGTACAGAGTAGACACTCAGTAAGCAATAGATGCTGTTTACTTTAAAACTTTAAAACTGAAATGTTACCTACCCTCTCCCCCCAAAAAAACCCAAAATCCAAAAATCAAAAAACTCTAAGATGAGGAAAGCAGATTACTTTTTAAGATTTAAACCATAAAATCAACATGAAATACAAAATCTCCTGATAAGAGAAATGCTCCTTAGCCAGTCATAATTAACAATAAACTGATCCAATGTATTAGCAAATGTGAAGAAGAAACACTAATAGCAGGAAGTCATGATCAGCTGAAGAACAGAAAAAGAGGAGGGAATGTTGGTGGCTACCAAGGAAGCGCTGTCTAAAGGAGACGTAGACCAAGCCATCACATTTCAGGGATCTTCAGTTTTTCTGATCTCATTACTAAGGTTTACTCCAAGTATACTCTTAAGTATGGAGAAAGGAAGTAAGGGAATGAAGCTAGGATAGTTCTAGTGTCATTGGCAATACCACACCTATCACCAAATCGAAAAATTAAACTCTATGTAATAACTCTAAGCACTAGTCATAATAGCTTTTATTGCTCTGCTTACATGCTCTCTAAGCAAACTTCTGATTGCCATGTAGAAAATAGGCTGACAGAACAGATTTGAAATATTTAAAGACTTTGTGAAGTGATTTGTGAGAATAAATCAATAAAAGGACCTTTAATTATTACTTGTTTTACATGTAGTTTGACTATAAGGAGATGATGCATTTATTATACAAGCCATAGTATTTATGATCTATGTAGGCATTATCACAGTTGATAAAATTAATAAATTGGCATTCCGGTATGTACCTCGGTCTTATGTACAATAAGTCTCTTACCGTCCAAAAACTCCAGGCTATTGGCAAAAGCTAGTCTCTGGGTTATTAAAGCAGAAAGCTAGATCAGCTGGCCTTTTCTAAGGTAATGCAGTTCTTTTTCTTTTTCAAGATTTTATTTATTTATTAATGAGAGACACAGAGAGAGAGGCAGAGGGAGAAGCAGGCTCCATGCAGGGAGCCCGACATGGGACTTGATTCCGGGACTCCAGGATCACGCCCTGAGCCAAAGGCAGACACTTAACCACTGAGCCACCCAGGTGTCCCTAAGTTAATGCAGTTCTATGACCTTTTGGAAGTAGGGCCTTTTTGCTGATTTCTACTTTATTAATAACATTATTAATGATTATGAAAACTGAAAGTCCAAACAAGATATAGGTAGATATGGTAAGTAGTTAAGATGCAGCTACCCTTCTCAAAACATCTAGTCATTTCAATATCTAAATTATCTTTCTATACCTCTGGATAAACAGTCTATATATATCATACTATAGAGCAAAAAACCTAAGTTCTAAAACACTAAACATGACATGAAGGGGTGGTACTGCCAGAAGGCACCTGATCCTAAACAATTCTATATTTCATGCTTATTTCAATTCCATTTTCAGACACTGACAGAATGTTCTTAATGTGGTGGAGTTGAGAATATTTTTATAAAATTCAGGTAAAAGAGGTCTTAAAGATTAAAAAAAAAAGTATTGTAAAAAAAATGCTCACAGTTCAAAAATAGGCTACCAAAGTCAGAAAAGAAAAGGCAAATACTGAAATTTTGTAGGGAGCTATCAATCTGCTTGATATTTAGTCTGACTCATAGTACTTCTAAAAATATTGATAACAAATCACCAATAATGTTAATTCTTGAGTTTTTGTTCATCTACCAAACAGTTTCATTTTGGACAGAAGAAAGTTCATTAATTAAAAAAAAAAAAGTACTTTCAAAGTTATCTTACTGTTTATTCTGGTCTCTATTTTATTCATTTCTGATTTTTCTTTGTTATTTCCTTCCTCTACTAAACTTCAGCTAAATTTCTCCTTTTTCTAGTTCCTTGTGGTATAATGTTTATTCAAAGTTTTTTCTTAAAAAAAAAATAAGATTTTATTTATTTGACAGAGAGCGAGAGACCGCACAATCAGGGGGAGCTGCAGAGGGAAAGAGAAAATCAGGCTCTCTGCTAAGCAAGGAGCCCTATGCAGGGCTCCATCCCAGGACCCTGGGATTATGGCCTGAGCCAAAGACAAGACGCTCAACCAACGGAGCCACCGAGGCGCCCCTGAAATTTTTTCTTAAGACAGACATTTATAGAATGAATACCACTCTAACATCTGCTTTTGCTACATCCCATAGGCTTTGGAATATTTTGTTTCTCTTTTCATTTGTTTTGAGACATATTTTGAATTGCATGAAAAAAATTCTTACTATTGAAAAAATTTCTACCATTGGAATGGGAACATCCTACTTTCTGTCAACGTTTGCTTCATGTATGTTGAAATTCTGTTCTATCCATGCATATTAACAGTTGTTTTAACTTCTTGAAAAAGAATAATATTGGAAGATATATAATTAAAAGAAAAAGAAGTCACAGCAACTTTCCATATATTGTTTATCTGGGATACACAGGGTTCCAATTCCTGCACTTGCTTACACGACATGCTGTGCTTCAGTGCAAGGATGCCTTGGAATAGTCTGAGGATCCAGGTTGGAGCATGCTCTTATGTATTCATACAGAGACGAAATTTGTCACTCCTGTGGTAGGTGCTAGACTTGCCAATGAAGAAAACTCAGACTTCAAAGAATATGACATGAGACAGACAAATATAATCCAGTGTGAAACTAACCTGCGGAGTTATGATGATATAATAGAATCCTTGCTCAGTTTTGTGTGTGGACAAGAAAATGTTCTTGAAAGAACAGATGTCTAATTCCAGGGCAAAAACATCTAATTTGAACTTTCAAATCATCAACAATCATTTACTCATCACTTGCTATGTGCAAGACACTCACCTAGTGGGGATAAAAAATGTGCAATTCAAATTCCCTGCTTTAAAGAGCAATGTAGTGGTTGAGAAGACTGATAAATAATAATGAAAGAAAGTTCAGGTTAAGGGCCAAATGATGCTACAGCTGAACACCTTCATGAGGACTGGGAGATCCTGGAATACTTCTGGGAATGATTAACCAACTGAATTTGGGCAGGGTGGGGGAGAAGAAAGTCAAATGGAAAACCTGGGATAAATGAAGAGAGAATTTCGTGCAGGAAGTAGTGATACAAGTAAAGATGCAGAGATAGTCTTAGAAAGTACAATGTAAACTTAAGTTTCAAGCTTACTTAGGAAAAAGGGACATTGAGGAATATAAACTGAATGCTATCTTTAGTCTATGACATTCCTGGACTTGCTGAGTTACAGTCATGGAATAGATAAGAAACAGCCTCACTTATAAGGGGCAACTTGCTTTTACATAGAGTCACTTTCCCTTTACTTGTCCATATAGCAATATGCACAATCATGCCACTCTAGTCCACATGTGAAAGTAATTTTAAAGCTCCTGAAATTCTCGACTATTGGCTATGGGCTCTCTGTGTGCACTGTCATCACTATGTAAGTAGGATGTCCCCAATTGTACTCAGACATGTACAGCAAACTTAGGGGTAGGGTAAAT